AAAAAAAAAAAAAAAAAAAAAAAACAAAAAGTGGCTAATATTCAGAAAAAACATCAAAAGTAAAAACAATAGCACCAAGACAAATGGAATATGCATGAGAAAGATTTTGTAAGTTTTGCATAATGCATATTTCATAGTCTAAGTTAAGTAGGGTGGAAAAGCTTCTCTTAGATCTGAAATAAAAACCTTGTAAACTGAAATCAGCCCTCACTTGTTAGAAATTATGCTTGCAGTAAAAAAAATTCTTGCTTATTTTCCTCATTAATCCCAACAGAAAAGTAGTATTATCAAAGCTGATTAAAATAAGGCAGAGGATATATCATACTAAAGTGCTCTTTACCTTGATTTATAAGAATAGGAAAATATCTACATACTCATACTTTCAATTATCATGCTTTGAGATGCATTAAAAAAACTAGATTATGGGCCAGCCCCATGGCTTAGCAGTTAAGTGCGTGCGCTCCGCTGCTGGTGGCTCGGGTTCAGATCCCGGGCACGCACCGACGCACCCCTTCTCTGGCCATGCTGAGGCGGCGTCCCACATACAGCAACTAGAAGGATGTGCAACTATGACATACAACTATCTACTGGGGCTTTGGGGGACAAAAAAGGAGGAGGATTGGCAATAGATGTTAGCTCAGAGCCGGTCTTCCTCAGCAAAAAAAAAAAAAAAACAAAACCTAGATCAAGTAGTCAAGCGATTTGTCCAAGAAACTGGCAGAGTACAAAGAAGTCTTAGCATCCTGAAACTGCTGAAATGTTATGACAAGACATTATGTCTTAGCAATATCTAGACAACAAGCCTGCAGCATCCAAAAAGAAAAAAGTGCCTTGTCTACAATTTGAGGCATTCATCACAGGAAATGTGGTCTAATTTATTCAGGGAAAGTCATATTTCTACTCCAGTTATTATTTAAAAATCCACTCAAAAGTAACAAACCCTGATGAACATATATCTCATACTGCATTCTCTACATTTACCTTATCAACTCTTCCCAGCTCCCAATTACACTTTAAAGTTTATAACTTCAAGAAACAACATAGTAACTTTAGGACATAGCTACTTCTAAAGTTAACTCTAGTTAACTAGTCATTCACTAGTCATCAATTTTCTCATTCAAGGGATATTATGAAAAGTTCCAAAACTCCTTACTTCAGGATTACAATTAATCTCTATTTACCAAAGGGAAGACTGGAAGTTCACAGTAGTTAATAGATAACTCATCAGATACCACATATAGACTAGGACCTTGATATAATCCTCTATAGAGAAATAAAGTTATTCATGAGTGGGTAAATGGAAATAATGCATTTGTGGTTAAAGAATATGATTAAGGAAAACTGTGTAAAAAGATAGTAAGGCCCAAATCCATAAATGTAGAAAATAATCAGCAAATAACAAAGTGGCAAACTTTACAACATGGAAAACACTAAAGCTTTAGAATTTGGTTTTCTGGTCTGCAGTTACATAATTATTTTATTTATGATTCATAATCATCATTAACATTAAAGGTTATTTTTACTAATAGAAGTACTATAACTATTTTGATATATCATAAGAACCTACCTTAAATGTTCATACTTCCATACACCTTCATCTTGGCCTTCAGGTGGTTCAAGAATTTTGTCAATATTGGAACAATCTGCTCTTATGTTCTGTTGAATATACTATAAACAAAGATGTTCTTATAGTTAATTAAAATATTACACTACATGGTAAATCTTACGTTAAATATATATAATTTTTTAATACATAACCGCTCTTGTGGTTCAACTTTTGGGTTATACACAAAATAGGAAACCAAGTACAGAATCATAATGAGTAATTCAGAAGAAGAGGTAACCCTTGCCTATTCTTCTCCAGTTCAACTTCTTTGGGATAGGATCTACTACATTAAGTGCAGATATGGTATTTACCAGGACTGGAATAGGGATCAAAACTCCAAACCACAATTTTCATATGAACATAAAATATAGACAATGTATAAATACAACTGGTACATATTATATTATTCCATTAATATGAAGTATCTAGAAAGGTAAATCTACAGAGACAGAAAACAGATTAGTAGTTGCCTAGGACTGGGGGACGAAGGGGAGACAAAGGAGAATGGAGATTAACTGCTGATAGGGATGAGGTTTCTTTTATGGGGAATGAGGATGTTCTAAAATTTGATTGTGGTGATCGTTGTACAACCCTGTGAATATACTAAAAACCAGTGAATTGTATATTTCAAATGAGTGATTTCTATGGTATATTAATTATGTCCAATAAAGTTGTTTAAAAAAAATGACTAGCAGAAAAACTAAGTTAAAAAAAAAAAAAGGTAGGGAGGTTCACTTTCAATTTAAATAAAATAAAATTAAATAAAACTTCAAATCTCAGATCTTTTAATGCTTCATTCACTCTACGATTTAAATCCCTGAAATTTGAATAGGCTAGATTAGATTAAAATGCCTGATTACAGAGGCTTAGTTAATTAGTTGATTACAGGGCCTTCTTAAACCAACCTGTTTTGCCTCTTTTCAGACAAGCTTTCTTGAATATCACTCTCATGTCAAAAGCTTCCTCAAAAGCTTTTAATAACTTCCTAATTTCTATTTAAATGACTCCTCATTTTCTGACCCTATCCTAATGTTCCAAAGTTTTGCATGGAATTGATTCTCTCTCTCTTCAAACAGATACAGCTAAATTCTATACCTCTTCCACTGACTACCACAAATTCCACACCACAATTTTTTTCAAATTCCTCCTCCCCCAACACACTCAAGTCTTCCCTGATTATTCCATACCTCATACAACTTCCTCTGATTTCCTACCACATCTGTCATCTGTATAATCTAAATTAGCAATTTGTCTACTCACAATTATTTTTCCTGCTCCCATTATACCTCCTACAGAACACTAAAAAGCATTTATTTCACACTTAATAAACAGCACTTACTTATTTTCATGTGTCTCCCTCAAATAAAAAATGCAGACAGTTTTGTTTTGAATTTTAGTATTAGCACCCAGCACATAGGAGGTTTTTCATAAATGTTTAATGACTTCCCTAAACTACATTACTTACAGTCAAGGATGAAGAACAGTAATTACCTGAAATGTTACAGCTATGGAGGGTTAGAAAATTTACCAAAAATGGAGGGTAGACTCTGATTCTTTTGCATTCTTTGGTGATCCCAAAACCAGTTTGTTAATTAGGCACATGAAAATATATTCTCTGCAAAATGGTTTGCTCATAATCAATATTAATTCTTTAACCACGTATCTGGTAACCAAATTTAATTATGAAAATTTTATTGTAAGTAGAGTTACAAGTTGTCAATTTTTAAGGAATCTGGAATCCATTATTAATGATAGTTTATGTAAAACATAAAAAAAGAGAACAGAAGAAATCCTTAACTTAGAAATAAAACAAAAAGGTCATTTTGTTTTCTGAACTCAGTCCTCCATACTTTTACGCAAACAGAAGCAGCTATTATTATAAAATGAGCTAAGAAAAATAAATGTCCTGGGCCGGCCCCGTGGCTTAGTGGTTAAGTGCGCACGCTCCGCTGCTGGCGGCCCAGGTTCGGATCCCAGCACGCACCGACGCACCGCTTCTCCGGACATGCTGAGGCCGCGTCCCACATACAGCAACTAGAAGGATGTGCAGCTATGACATACAACTATCTACTGGGGCTTTGGGGAAAAAAATAAAATAAAAATAAAAAAAAAAAAGAAAAAGAAATGTCCTAATGCTCACTGAATATAACTTTTGCTGTATGGAAATTTTTACACTGTTTCTGAGTTTATATGAGCAATTTCTGTTCAGTTGATAATTTATTTTTATCTTCACAAATATCTGAAAACTAAAGGTTTACAAACTGCAACATGTTTCTCTACTGTCACACATCATAATGTGATGTAAATATAAACTAGGATTAACTGCTTCATGTGCAGCACTAAACAAATATGAAATAGGAAAAAAGCAAGAATAGCTCTATCATGAAAAGCTGGAATATTCTTAAGTACCTTATCAACGTTATCTGTAATATGTCGCTTATTTAGTAATTCAGTTAAATGGGAAAGCAGTACCATTACTTCTTACAACTTTTACTGGTGAATTTTAATGTTAAGAGTTTTTGAAACTGAACAAATTGAACAACTATTATTTAAGAAATCGGTTTTGAAATCTTTAAGAAATTCTACAGAAAAATCCAGAAGAACCTCATAAGAATGGTGTTTTTTATGCTTCTAAGAAATTTAAAGTCCTAACTTACTACCATTTCTTGAAGAGAATCTTTTTCAGTGAGCTTCCAAAGACATTACCATTTCTACCTGACACTACCACCACCTGATCAAGCTCTACTAACATTTCAGACACTATCAGCATGTACTCACTTCCCAGGCCTTTCAAGTCTTCTCAGTACAGGAATATACTATACCAGATTTTAGACTAAGTCAAAACAAAGGCATGAAATCTTTCCCCCTTCTGTTATGAAAAAGGTAGAAATATATATTCCTAGTGACTTATTCCTATGGGCTATAATTATTACTAATTATAATGATCTAGTACTGTATTTTATATAAGACTTTTCCTAAAGCAGTTTTTAGAAATCATTTGGGAAGAGTAAAATACATAGCAATAAAACATCATGCAAAAGCATTTTATTGTTTCCAGTTTGGGGCAAGATGGAGTAAACACATCAACTTTTCTCTCCCACTGAACGAAACTCTAAAATCTGGACAGAATGCATGGTGCAGCTCTTTGAGGTCTCTGTAAAGCAAATATCAGAAAGAGGAGCAGGAAAGAACACCAGAATTCGAAGTACCACTGAACCGGCAGTGAGTCTGCCATGTTCTTTTCCTCCCCGGCATCCTGGCCTGAACTCAATTCAGGATGAAATCCAAAAATGAGTACTGTTGGTGCTGATAGAGAGATTCAGGAGAAACTATTTAGCTTTGGCTCAAGGAGTGGAAAAAGGCACTCCTAAAGCTCAAAGAGAATGGAAGAAATCCCGTGTTTTTTTCTCTCTCCCTTTGCTCCATTCTTTCATAGCCTGAGACGATTCCACAGTGGCAGCAAAAGCAGCTGGCAACAGAACAATGCAAGTGACAAAATTCTGAGGAAGAGAACCCTTCCTCTCCATTTGGTGGTGGGATCAAACCCTGTTTCTTTTTCTCTCTTTGCCTTCCCATAACTGTAGCACAATTCCAGTAAGTGGCTTCTGGCCAGAGGACCAAAGAAGTGGGCCCCAGGGAACTAGAAAGTATCGGAGAGAGAGAAGCTCAGAAAAGTGACCCCATAAAGCTATTTATGAACTCCTGCGCTCAACCCTGATCTATGCATGTATGCATGCATAGATCTGGTCCTAATTAGCATATGATAGACTTTGAGAACTGAGCTAATGGATGTATCTCCACCCAGGGTGACCATGAGTTGGTGCGCACACGGGAGAGATTCAAGGAGTAGCACAAAGGCTTTGAAAACTGAACCAACACTGGAACCTGAGTTTGGTTGGGACTTGCAACCTGTATCTAACCAGGTCAAATGCCTACTAAAGCAAAAATATCAACGTTCTCCATGCAATTAAATAAGACCACTGTCTCAAAATAATATTCAAAATGTCCAGGATACAATCCAAAATTACTTGGCATATAAAGAATACATGAAAATTTCAATTCTCATGGGAAAAGACAATCACAAGACACCCATGATAAGACGACACAGATGTTGGAATTATCTGATAAAGACTTTAAAGTAGCTATTATAAAAATGCTTGAACGAGAAATTGCAAACACTTGAAACAAAAGTATCAGCAAAAAATGATACAAAGAGCCAAATAGAAATCTTAGAACTGAAAAATACAATAATCAAAACAGAATCTCACTGGACTCAATAGCATAATGGAAATGACAAAGCAAAGAGTCAATAAACTTTAAGATAAATAGCAATTATCCAATCTGAACGAGATAAAAAATATTAAAATAACAACAATAATAAACAGAGCCTCAGGAACTAGTGGAACAACAACAAAAGGATTAAAAGTCATGTCACCAGAGTCTCAGACAAAGAAGAAAAAGAATGTGGTGCTAAAAAAAAAAATACAGCTGAAGAAACAATAGCTGGAAAGTTCTCAAGTTTAGGAAAGACATAAACTTACAAATTCAAGAAGCTGAATGGGCCAGGGGCAGGGGGTAATGGACAATTATTATTGTTTAATGGATACAGAGTTTCAGTTGGGGAAGAAAAAAAATGTCCTGGAGATGGAGGTGGTAAATGGCTGCACAACAAAGTGAATGTCCTACCACGACAGAACTGTACACTGAAATGTGGCAAAAATGGTAAATTTTGTTATGTATATTCCAGCACAATAAAAAAAAGAGTGAACACCAAACAGGAAAACCCAAAGAAATTCATGCCCA